GATGATGATGATGATGATGGTGAGGGTGGTGATGAGGATTTTTATGCTTGGGGTCCTGAATGAATGGATGTGACACTGACTTGCAGAGACCAGCAAACATTTTTAATCTCAACTAAATATATGCAAAAATTGGAGATAAGAAAAACGATAAGAAGACTTGATGCTTGATGTGTTTTGCAAAGTTAGATTTGCTAATAAAGTCTTGTTTATTGAAATGCTACTATGATATTCTAGTTAAGACATGTCACTTTCTCACTGGCCTTGATTTCACTACGGCCTGACCTTTAACTTCACTCCAGCGATTGTGGAAAAAGGTTGTTTTATCGATGCATTGAAAATAAAACCTTTTACCGTCTTGAACAAATTGAGCACTCCCAGTCTGTCGGGTGACACTGCAGTCGAACACTTTTTCTTGATCCCTGGCAGCAGTTTTACAGTCGTGGCTATGGTGCAGTGAAAATGTGGCCTGTGTGTAGCGAGCTCCTCTGCGTGTTACTATGTATTCACTATGCTTTTATCAAGAGGACTAACTGACCTTATGGACTGTCTGTCTTTATATGCATAAACAACCTCCTTTAATCTTTTCCATGTCTGTCTATTTACCCTTCTCATAGTACTGGGAGCAGGCTGCTTTTTTTATTGGATATGTGCTCAACCTATTGGCATTATAACTGTATAATATAATTTATCATTTGTACTATTGTAACATACTGTTCCTCTGTATACCTTATTATTCTATGTAATGGGTTTTTGTAGGAAAAGTCACCGTGGTATTTTAACGGCATCTAAACAAATGAAAGCAGCAGGCCGCACCCTGTTGATGAGGACAACTGTAGCTGCATTGGTTCAAAATAAAATGTGTATCACTTCAGCTCTGTAACTCCAGTGTCTGTGTGTCCTTATACTTTCTTCTTCTTTTTTTTTTTTAACCAAAAGTCCAAACAAATACAGTTGTGTGTGTTCAACAATATGGTCAATACATTCAAAGTCCACATTTATTTAAAAAAGTAAAAAATATAGTAAAAGTGAAAAAATCAGGACCATACAAATATATCTGGAACTTTGAATGCGTCTAATAAAATTTCATAATTAATTTCAAGACAATTTTACTAAAAAACACTAGGCACAGGAGTGTGTGTTACCCCTTGCGTTCTTCACAGCGGCATTGCAGTATTGTGAATTTCCATACTAACTGAAAAAGTAAAAAAGTAATTTTATATTCAGCACGAATGCCCACCAATTAGCTGTCTGTAAAACAGTCTCTTATGTTATTATATTTTGTACGGTTGTTCCTCTGTCGACCAGCCAGATGTGGCAGACTGTGTGTTCGCCGGGCTTGATGGTCCTGTATCGTAGCCCAGTTTCTTCATGTCTTTAGTCATGATGTTAAAGGAGACTGTGACGAAGCCTTGGGACCGAACCCGAGTCACTGCAAGACAAATAACATGGGACGCTTACTGCACTGTAGATATAAAAAAAAAACTAACATCTGATTATTAATGTTAAAAAAAATACAGGAACAAATGCACAACAAACCTTCTCGGCCTTCTCCCTGGGCCACTACTTTAGGGTCTGTGTACTCGGGCCGCCGTCCCAACAGCCAGCTAAACAAGAGAAAGAAATATGTTAAAAACTACACAGTGCGAGGGAGAGACGGGCATCACACCTCCAAGTGAAGTGAGCTGCCACTATCAGTATATACTGTACACAGTATACACACAAGGGTTGTATTTGTACTTCAAGATGGAATTGTCAGACACTGTTTCACATATATTGATTCAATCATATATCCTGTGTGCTAAAGTCCTCTTTGACACAACTAGGCAGAGTGCACGAGTGAGAAGGCACATATAGTACATCAACTTGTAACACTCTCTCTGATCAAGTGGAAAAACTAAATATGCTAGCAGTGTTGCTATTTAAATTGCAAACTTAAAGGTTCAGATGTGCACCTGTGTATCTGTAATAGCCTGCTGGGTTGGGAGTTGAAAGGAGTGAGTACCTTTGTGTGTGTCTGTGTTTCCATACACTGATAATAGTAGCTGGCAAACACTACTAATGTGGATTATTTTCACCACAGAGGCCTACGACTGTATCCTCAGTGGGACACACACACACTGGAGCAGTAAATATTTGATAACACTCCGATATCTACTGCTAACCCCAGCAGGCAAAACCAATCAGCCACAGCACCACAGCTGCTGAGACAGAAAGCTACACACACACAC